TTGCATACTCGGATAAGAAATAGGCTTTTCCAAACGAAATCAGTACTGGCATTGCATAACTTATTCCAAAAGAATAATTTGCGTTTTTCGACTTCACACCAAACATCCGGTAGTCCAAGAGCCCTTGGTGTTATTGCTGGTGATGATGTTTTTTTTCAAAACCCTGACATCTCCTAGCTGTGTACCTTTGCGATCGCTCTAGCTCGCTATTGGATGACTTGGTTGGATCTGCCCATAATTCACATGCATACAATATAGCTTGAAGGACAAACGATTCTATAATGCGTACACTTTTAAATGGATTCATTCCGTTCTGATGTATGCCAACACTGATAAGGCTGTTAACGGTTCTACGTCCTTTTCCACGATGTTGTCCATGTGAGTGGTGTATTCCCAAAAGAACATGGAATTTTTAATTCACTTTGCGGTCGTTTCCGATTTGAAAATTGCATTAATGAAGATTTTGCACATTTATAGTTAGGTCTACATAGCTTTGCATATATGTGAACAATGTCTAACTGCATCTGTAGATTTCTGATCGACGCAGCTAAAAGTGAAGTGTCATCTGCTAGGAAAACACACCGAATGTGGAGGTTGTGGACATCTAGTCCAAGACCTGCTTCTTCCAGCCTAACCGCAAAATCATCAATCATAATAAGGAAGAGCCAAGCAGAGATAGTCCTCCCTTGGTCGACTTGGCTCTATAGAGTATGCATCGCTCGTTTCCCCCATCGTAAAGAACACATGCCGTCACACCAACAAACGAGTTATGAAGAATCCGCCAGAATTTACCGTTGATGTCTAACCGATACACCTTCAATAGCAACCCCTGTATCAAAACACTGTTAAAGGCTTTTGCGTTGTCAAGAAACGCTGCAAAGACTTTTGAATTGCGCTCCAGATAGTGACAAATTCATTCTTTTAAAGTAAATGCGGCTGTAATGCTGCCACATTGTGGTCGAAATCCCTGTTGCAACTTGTGTGGAAATCCAATTTTTTAACAATGTTTTGATATTCGCTAATACATGATGTTTTCAAATAGTTTTTGTAGTACTGGTGTCAACGTAACGTCCCTGTAATTATTCCTGTTAAGACGGTCTTTCTTCCCGCCTTTAAACAAAGTGATAACGATTCCTTTTTTGAAATGCTTTAGATAGTCCCCCTGATCAATGATAATGTTAAATAGCATGACTAGCAACCTCCTCAGCATTGTTTCACCATAACGAATATGTTCCACAATAATATTGTCATGTCCACCTGCTTTCCCATTTTTCATATCTCCAATTGCTTTTGTTAACTCATCAAATCCAGTGTGTTTCCTGCATATATTATTCTGGTTATTGTTACTGTTCATGTACATTCGTCCGATGTTACGTTTTCCTTTCTCTTTGAATTCGGCATCAAAATGTGATTGTGTGCCTGGCTTTGATAGGTTTTTATAATGTTCTGCCCATGCCTTCCTGTTGGTATCCGGATCGCGACTTATCTCATTTCCAATGCGCTGTTCATTTAACGAAAACGTATTGCATTTCTTTTTCCTGATTACCTTGTAAAATGTTCCAATATCTATTTAAGCTGCGTCTTGCAGCTCTTCAAACTTTTTATCCTCATATAGTTCCCGCGCTTCATCCAGTGCTGTTCTAAATTCGCGTTTTGACCGTTTGTATATTTTGTATGATTCATAGCAGTGTCCTCTTGGCCGTCCTCCTTGTACCCAATTTGCACGACGTTGTCGCATAACAGTATACAATTCCTTGACATGACCGTGGTTCCAGTACGGCTTAACAAACGGACGGTATCGCTTAATTGGTAACCTTGCGTTAGCAGGCTCTCGAATCGCAGTAACGGTGTACTGAACTAGTGTTTCCAGCTTATCAACTTATCTACGTAACTGCTCTAGTATCTTATCAAGCTGTGTAACATATCTAGCTTTCTCCTCAGCTGTTGCCTTTTTCCAGTTTACCGTCCGAGGATATGGCCTTTATCGACGCAAAATGAGGCTCCATAAACAGTTGTAACGGGCAGGTGGTCGGATACGTTGAGAAAGTGGTCATCATGAGTAACACAAGTGGTTACCAAGTCACTCACTGTCTTCAACCAAAATATGGTCAATAAGAGAATGGTTCTTTCCATCGTTTGACATACACGTAAAGTCACTTCCTTTGGACCAGTCTTGTGAGTTAGCACGATCATGCTTATTTATACCGAATTTCTTTGATATGTGGCCATTAAAGTCACCAAGTATGATGATCTGTCCGTGTTTACAATAGCGATTAAATAAATCATATATACATTCAGGTGATATTCACGTAATGGGGGGTTTGTAGAAGGTAAAAGAGCTTATATGACAAACAGATATGACCTATCATAAAGCTGAACAGATACACCTATTACCCGATCACTGCCTTCACTTAAAAGTGGCGATACTTTAAGGTGGCCCCTCCAAAGAATTGCTATTCCTCCGCAACCGCGAAAATGTGATCACTGTTCAATGTCCGGCGATACGCGGTCATCGGACCTCCAAAACGACCTGAAGTTGATATCGATACTTTCTAAGAAATTCAATTGTTCTGGAGGTAACCATTGCTCAGTGATAACGGCGATGTCGATATCGCGTAGAATTTTTGACAGAAGAGGCGTTCCATACATTACACCTATAAGAAGCTTCACAAGTATGGCGAAACATATCGAATAGAGCAATCGTGTATAACATGCATCTACATCCATCAGGATTTGTGACCTACTAATCTGTTTTTACGATCTTTCCACTCACGTATGAGAACATTTTCTGGCCAGAAATCGTAATCTGTGGCTAAGGCATTGTTGTTCAAGTATGTTCAGTTTCGCCGTCTCAGTCGTTACAGTATTCAAGAATACGCATGAATGTTACTTTGACACCTCTGTTGGCAGCGTAGGAAACAACAGAATTAATTACATCCTCCTCTTTTACGTTTTACGCCGCGAATTTCATACTGCGATTTTGCTTTTTCAACTCCAAGTTGTTGCTGAGTATTGTAGAGTATCATACGCGAATGCTTGTCTTCACATCTCGTGTCGCACATGCTTGTGCGCAGAAGATTTAGTATGAGCATCATCCTCAACTATATAGCACTGTTGATCGCTGTCGCTTTATCGTTGCTGTGTGTCTGATGGCCGAGGTAAACGCATGACATCCGCGTATGATACAGTTTTACTTGGAACTGTCTGAACCTCGGAAGATGTATTGATAACTGCGTTTTTCCTCGCATGATCCAAACGTGTTTCTAGAGCTTTGATTGTTTTGTCCTTTGCCAATACACCTTTTCTAAGTTCCTTCACTTCTAACCGTAACTCGCGGATTTCCTCAATGTATTAATTTGTAGAACATTTAACTGACCTAAGATTTCTTCTCTCATTCCAAAAATTAGTATCAATAAATCGCGTTTACACCTTCCAGCTCATTTCCTTTTTTCTGTTCTCTTCTTTTTTACATTCGTTTCAACATTGCACTCGTATTATTAACTATCGCGCTACTGCCACTGTCCTTTAGAGCTGTATCATGAAAGGACTCGTTAAATGTATCGTTGCCACCGTTTGTAAGTGTCAGGTCACACGTGGAATGTGACCGGTCCTTGTAACACATAACATTCCGTATATCACTAAGGCCCATACTACAGTCAATGTAGTGGAAAAGTATATAAATATCATCCACATATTTATCCACTGCTGATGTATTTCCCGCGTTTCTTTGTCTGACAAGTTCCCTCCGAGGGGTCTCGGGTCAATTAACTATGGCGATATCGTACATCGATTGTCGTATACATGCTAGTTCTTCAGGGTTGCTTTTGCATATCGATTTCACTTTCCCTTTAATCGTAACTCTATCAAGTCCACCAGCGATTTCAATTAGAAGAGCGAATGCACTTTTGTCTATTTGCGATGACGTCATAGTCAACCTCAATAAAGCCTAGGTTTTGTCAGGTTCATTTGATAAACTGTCTGTAGACATTTTGGGAACGCGCTTAATGCTAATTCAATCACCGTGGTGTTCATCAGTCTGCTTCCTATTCCAGGCAGTACTATTTGTTCCGCGTGGGCAACAATGACTGTCTTTCGAAATAACCACAATAGCGCGTGACGAATTGTCGATCGTGGGCTTAATGAGCTTGTTACATGTAAATACATATGCTACACGAAACAAATTCAGTTCAAAAGTAACTTTGACAATTGCAACATTATCACTTGACGATACGCTAGTAAGATACAACAGTCTATTTCAATTTTAGCAGTAGCGTTTGTCCCCCGTACATTTGCGCCATGCAGGCTACGAAATAAGATTATTTAGTATGCACTGATAATTTGCAAGGGATATCTCTATTATGCTGCTTTATACAAGTATTGTCCTTGCTAGGGCTGTTTGTTATCCAAGGTCTGACAGGTTCTCAAATATCAGTGTCTATATTATGACCTAGACTGGCAAGCCCTGTGTATGAATAATACAGAAACAACAATGTTGAAGTACACAAGCACCTAGGAGTATTTTTTTCGAATGATGGGAGTAAACTACATTAATAATAAAGCCTCAGTCAGAATCAATATTCTACGTTCTCTAAAATTCAAACTCGACCGAAACACATTACAGACTATTTACTTTTTATTTATCAGACCTATTATGGAATATGGTGACGTAGTGTGGGATTAATACAATCTTTCATCCCCTTGGGGGTGAGATAGGGGGATCTCAACCCAGGGGGGGATGATTCTTAATTTGTTAAAAACGAGACTTTGCCGAGTGTTTGGCAACTTAAGAATCTTCCCCCCGAGGGTTGAGATCCCCCTATCTCATCCCCGAGGGGGTGAATGATTATTTTTCTCTTACCCTGTTGTTCCTGTCCAAGTGTAAGACGAAGCATATTGTTTGTAAACAGGAACACGCGAATAGCGTATTAATATCATATGTATACGTCAGATGGTTCACGCATCATATTTTAAACATTTTAAAATCAATCCAATCTTCTTTGATGTCAAATGTAAACACGGCAAGATTAGCAGACGAACTTGTGTATGTGTGTGACCACATACAGGTAGTTCTTCTTCCGGGTCACATCAGTGACGTCAGGTTTATTGTGGAGAACGTGCAAAGAGCACGTGTAGCTTGTCTCAACCCTAGGGTGACACAAGGAAATCTCACACCGGTAAAAGTGCGGATACACCTGCCCAGGGTAAGTGAAAATATAACCGATGAATATAGTGCTAAACTGGAACAAATTAATACTGAGGCAGCTAGGATTGTATCTGGTGCAACCAAACTGACAAGCATAGAGAAGACGGCTGGACAAAACTAATTGAATGTAGACATCAACACAAACTAATTATTTTCCACAAAATGTTCTACCAAAATACCCCTCAATAGTTCAACCGTCTTGTACCACAATCAGTCACTGGAATACATAGCCATAATACTAGACATTCGGATGTTACAACTATCGCTCCCATTCCTTGTCATTCTAATGTGTATCAAAGATCTTTCTTGCCCTCTGTTATCAATAGCTTGAACTATATTCCAGTTAACGTCCGGAGAAACCATTCCATTTATCAATTTAAATCACATATTAAACGCAACAACAAAAAATACTACTCATATGGCTCACGATTAAAACAAATATACCATGCTAGACACTACGCATGTCAAGCAGCTCTCTTAATGAACTTTTATATAGGAACAACATTGTTAGATCCCCTCTATGCGCATGCGGTAGCATCGAAAACACTTCCCATTACCTGCTAGATTGTACCTTATACACTGCCATCAGACAACTACACTTTGAAACTATTCATTATCAAATAGCTGTCAAATTATTATTATATGGCAATGAATCGTTATCTTTAGAAGAAAACAAAATAATTGTCCTCGCTGTTCAGGATTAAATCCTTAAGTCCAAGCGATTTCAACAACATGAGGGTGATATGATATTATGATGATATTGTTATTAATGGTTATTAATGTATACATGCTGTTTCAAATAATGTTGGACTCTGAGTATCTCAAACACGTAGGCTTATGTTGGAGTTTGTATGAAAGCATATTGCGGATAAGGTAACGCTGCAATATCTCCTTACTGAAAATATATCAAATCAGTTTCGTATATAAACTATGTATACATTGTACAAATATCTTACCTTAACCAGACATTTGAGGCAGTAATTGTGCAGACAATTTAGCCTAATGTACGTGAGTTGCGAGCGTTTCCACAAGGATCCGCCCGTGTGATGCCAAGTAGCTGAGAGGTTGTTGGTATAGTGTATCCGTCTGGTGATAGACTGGCTCCTTTGTGACATCCTCGATTAAAGCGATTTTTTTCAGTTTTACTTTAAATTTCTTTTGTCTGTAAAATACTACGTTTTTAACGTTCCAGCTACATAATAAAAAGAAATGAAATTTACAATCACGCTTCTCTTTTTCGATTACATTTGTGTGGTACATGTCATTTTGTCCAACGTCCACAGTTAGCCTGGATTTGCAAACACCCTGATCATTGGTTCCTTGTACCTTTCCATTTGAGGTAAGTGGGAATGCCCTCCATCCGGAAGTTCAAGTTCAAGTTCTTTATTAACTTTGACTCATCAGTGTAACACATATACATGATATATATATATATATATATATATATTCTCATAACATTGACAAATATCGAAAATACTAATAAATACACAGACGAGACAAAACACTCGGAGAGCATAACTACTTATGTTAATAAAGCTCTTCTTGAATTTGCAGCTTTAATGTATTTGGCCAATTTTGCTAATTCATTTGTGTTTTGTCCGTTAAATAACTGAATTAATTTAAACATGCTCGGTTTTTTACAATAGTACTTTTTTAAAAATTTCTCACGTAAATCAGAATAACAGGGGCATTTAAGAATAAAATGAAATTCATCTTCGACATCATCTATATCACAAGCGGTACAGATTCTTAAAAGTCGCGGAATATTTTGATAACGACCTTTCTCTACATTTAAATTATGGGCTGAAAGCCGAATTTTTGTTATTTCTTTTAAGTAACCTTTCATAAACGATTTTCTTAAATAACCCTGTATACCAACTTCTTTGTTAAGACATGTAAGACCATTTGAGGTAAGTATACATTTAAACTGGTGACCAGCTACTAGTTTATAGTAGAGAGTTGTCCATCATCCTTTGTCTACTACGCTACCCCGCCCCCTCTAGTTTGAAACTAACTCATTCTACTACGCTACCCCGCCCCCTCTAGTTTGAAACTAGCTCAGCCATACAAGTGAACATTTTTTTCAGAATAATTCAATATTTAAGAGACGGGGGGTGGTTTGATTTACATTGTAAAATCGGAACGTATTTCTGGCGCCATATTCCTCTTCTTCTATTTTTTCCTCAAGTAAACAATTTATTACGGAGGAAATCCTTTAACGCTTTCATATTTGTGATATAGATGTATTGTTTCTGGAGTTTTTGTTGCTGTGACTTGATAAGGTTTGGCATTGCTGTTTGCAAGGTTTCCTTGATCACGACGGACACAGATTCAAGCCTTCAGATGTGCTATTCTTTTTGTTTATTGTGGAGAACGTGCAAAGAGCAAGTGTAGCTTGTCTCAACCCTAGGGAATCTCACATCGGTAAAAGTAAGGATAAATCTGTCCAGGGTAAAAGAAAAGATATTTCGTATATCTTCACTGAATTATGATATGTTTTTTATCAAATGGAGAATTCATGATATTTCACTTGTAAACTATAATAACAACAGATACCGTTGGGTTTACTATCATATTTTTTAAGACAGTATGCGGCCTCAATTTCCCAAAAGGCTTTCATACATGGGGAAGCACCGGAAGTGGACAAATTGTTTACGCGCCGCTTGGGGGTTTCAAAAAAGTAAAAATGCAGATATTTTCTGAAGATCCTTTTTGTCATCAACCAGGTTCTGTTAATATTTCTCCCCGGAGATATCTTCAAAAAAGGATATGGACGAAATAATTAACACTTTTGAAAGCCTGGTTATAGTCTTGACATAATTTATTTATGCATCATCTCTCATTTAAGAAACAATTGATAATGATTTATGTCTAAATCAACAATAATTTTCCAGACAACCAACCCGAGTTCAACGCCCTTTTTTTTAGCAACGTATTACTTTTTCACAGCGCGTGCCGATTTAGAACTAGTTACAGACAGAAACTGTTTAATTTTATTAGGCATTCTTACCTGTTTAACCTCGCAGTGACAGTAACAAAATGTGAAATTCAATCCGGTGATTTTTATTTGATTTAAACATATTTTGTTGCAAATGAACATTTACAAAAGAATTGGACAAAAGTTTTCACAACTTATCACAGTCCTTTTCTTCAAATACATGAATTATAAACAATAACTTGATAAGGTAATTTACGCAATATATATATATATTATGTTTTTTATATGGAAATAGAAAATAGAGAGGAAGAAAAGACGGATAGGGTAACGAAGTAAAGGATAGTAACACAGGAAGAGTCGGAGAAAAAAAGAGTGATAGAGAGAGAAAGATGATCACATTCAGCCAAACCGGTTGCATTTCCTGATATAATTTTGGACAGATTTTGCAATTGAGGTATTTTCATCATTGTTGAATTTAGGATCGCCATATAGGAGCAATTCTAAAGTTAAATCATCACGAACAGGTTGTAGCTCTCTTATTAATAGATTACGATGCTGGGTGTATAGGGGGGCAGACACAGAGGAAGTGATAAGAGTCTTCACATGGATTACCGCATGCACATTCAGCTGTATTAGATAAATTTGCTCTAAATAGGTCATAGTTAAGAGAGCTCGCACGGTTTCTCAAACGGCATTGAAGTATATTTAATTTACGAGAACCCCATACCAGAAAGCATTTATTATGTATTTTACCTTTAATTCATATTTGTTTTAAATGAACTGAGAGAAGCCAAATCCCTTATAGATATATCTAGGTCATTCCACATTTTTGTAGTTGATGGGAAAACAGAATTGCGCATTGTTTCAAGCCTAAAGTTTGGTTGACTTAAATGTTGGGAATTTCTTAGGTTATAACGAGAAATATCCCCAATGCGATCTGGTATGGTGTCACACAAATACTTTGGAGCTGTTTTTAATTGTAAAGAATAGGGACAATTTTCTGTTTTTCCTTCTATTACTTAGTGGAACCCGGCCAATTTCATTAAATATATGTTCAATTTTTGTGTATATGGGTAGTCCTGTAACAATTCGTGCAGCGTATATCTGAATATTTTCAAGTTTTGATGAATTTCCTATTCCACAATTGTCCCAGGCTTCACATGCATACTCCAATAAGGGTCGAATGTGCGTTAAATATAGTTTTTCAAAGTTAATTCTACTGAGTATCCATTTCATTTTACGAAGGGTTGCTATATATTTTGCCACTTTTTTGATAATTGTGTCTACATGTTTATTCCATTTGCCGTCGCTACTTAGTATAACTCCAAGGTGTTTGTGGTTATCTGTTATAAGGATAGAAGTATCGTTAAAAATAAGCTGGGGTTGAAAGGGTAGATTTATATGAGAAACCAAGGACATCAGCCAATGTTTAGACCATTTCTTTAGAGTTTTTACGTCTTTATTTACTTCACTTACAATATTTTCTAGGTTTGGTGATGAGTATGAAAGCGACGAATCGTCAGCAAAAAGACGAGATAATGAGGAGAGTTCGGTTGAAATATCGTTGATACGAATCAAGAAGAATAAAGGGCCTACATGTAACACTGAACCTTGGGGAACACCGGCGTTTATATTTCTTACAGAAAAATGTGAATCATGAATAAAGACGGATTGCTTACGCTCAAAAAGATAGTTTGTTATCCAATTAAGAAGACTGCCTGAAATACCATGTTGGTGAAGTTTGTATATAAGGCCTCTATGCCAAACTCGATCGAAGGCCTTTGAAAAATCACAAAAAGTAAAAGCTATAATTATGACGTAACGTCAGATGTTGACGCACAACAGTGTAACACACTTGTAACGTCATTTCGTTTCAGGTTTGACGTTTGTGGCACACGGCCGGCTTTGTAAAACACGTGGTTTCAGAGCTATCGGAATACAAATAGACATATGTAAAGCCTATTTATTTGACATTCATATGGTCACGGTTTGTATATGACAAGTGCAACCAATTTTGACAATGATCGAGTAACGGTAAAATTGACTGGCTTTGTAGTTGGGTGTTGCATCTCTGTACTCCATTTTGTACATTGTAATGTATCTGAGTAAACCAATAAATTTGAAATTTGTAATCTTCAAATGCCAAGGTATCGGCCTAGCGATTGGTCAGATTTTATTTCTACCCGAGACCGATCAAATTGCTAGCCGCGTGCCTTCAATTTTGCTTTGACATATTCAGGGGTACAGAGTGCGTAAGTGAACGCTAGTGTTCTTGTTTTGTTTAGGACAGGAGATTAGCAATAGGCGTTTGGATTGATATTTGTGACAAGGGAGTTGGATTGGTCCATGTGACTGGCAGGCGACAATAGCTGTGCAGGATTGATTTATGTTGCAGGAGCATGAGAAACGTTGGCGGGGTTGATATCATTGTGACAATAGTCGTAGGGATTGATATCATTGTGACAGAAGGGTGACAGTAGTCGTAGGGATTGATATCATTGTGACAGGAGAGTGACAATAGTCGGTAGGTTATATATCATTGTGACAGGAGGGTGACAAAAGTCGGTTGGATTGAAATCATTGTGAAAGGAGGTGACAATATTCGATTGTATTGTGTGTGTGTATGTCTGTGGGTTGTTACGCTTCCCGATTATCACTAGTTGTACTTAATTCTGATCCACTTATGACTTTCAATGTTTGAAAATAATTTACAGGTAATTTCAACAATTAAAACACCAACGCATCATCATGTGTTCACATTATAAAACATAGCGCATGCTTATTAGTATCTACCGACATTCTTGCTGCGGCCATGTGAAACAAGCATCCGCATCAAAGTATTACGTCACAAAAAGAGAATGACGTCATTGTGACCTCATACGAGATACTTTTACTCTAAAATTCCTGCTTTTTTAATCTATGGAAGATGCTTCTTTGTGTCGAATGTACCTGTTTTCTGTAAATCAAAGTTGTAGACAATTTGTTTTTGTTATGTTTAGAAATATGCAAAAAAGACGTGTCTTACAGGGTCAATTTCTTATCTTGCAAACCTTAAGATGATGTGGAAAACTATTACAACGATTCAACCATTTCCTTACAATTTTATATTAAAAAATTACACGCGGTTTCGTCATCTTTTGCTTCGAATTTATAAGATATCCCTCTCTGCGTTTTCCTTAAAAGTGATTGACGTAACGTCATCATTCACCACGTAGTGTTTTTTTTCTTACAAATATGTGCAATAAAATCGATTCCCCGCATGTTATTATTAAAGCCATCGACATCAAATTAGACTCAATGTTGTGGGATGTTTTCAAATTTGATATTATACATATTTTTGTCTCTTCATTAAGAAAATATCACCTTTTCCCGCTAAAACCAGTTATTTCGTTTACTCTGCTTTTGCAAGAATTATGAAAAACTAAATCGTTAAATATGTCGGAACCTTGAAAATGGATAACTAGAAAATTTACATAAAATGAAACCCTGAGATATCATTAATACGTATGCATGTTTTGGCTGTTATTGCGTGTAAAAAACAACCATAAAACATTCACGAAAAACATTAAATTTTGTTCATAAACAAAACAAGGAAATGACGTTCGAATTAACGTTTTCGACGCAAAACAGCGTAGCGTTACATGACGGCTAGACATGGGGAAATCAATGCTGTGCAGTGGTGTTAGGACATACAATATATCTAAATTATGCTTCAAAAAGCTGAGTCAGAGAACTTGCCAATGCATGTTTTTTCATTAAAAAAAGCAGATGTGTCATTTCATTCGAAAGTCACAAATATGGTATTTGTTCTTAAAACGTCGCATTTTACGGACCGTTACATAACGGCTAGACACAGTAATATCTTTATTCCCCAAATACTGTCGTTCCAATTTCTATAAACTTTTGCAGATTGTTGGAATAGATTGCACCAAACCGAATACAGGCAAACGACATTAACATAAACGGACATTTTGAACAACTAAAAACATTACACAAATTATACATGTGGGTTTCCTGTAATTTTACAAAAATGATATCGACTTTCAAGTATCATATTATTCAAGAAAACATTGTTATATAGCTTTAAAATTCAAACATCTGCAGAATGGGCCCATATTTTACTTGAAATATTCATTTATTGAAACGCGTAACCCGTTTACGTTACGCATTACATTGGAGTAATGGCGAATTTTGACGTTATATCGGTGATTATTACGTTGCACTCGAAACGTTTATATATTCTAATGAAATATTCAGGTAGATAAAAAAAATCTGAATAAGATGGTATATAATAACATTTATATTTGATCCTTTTTTCAGATTTTATATAGCGCTGATTTAGCGAAATCAGCGACTTTTCGTATGTGCGTCAACATCTGACGTTACGTCTATATGTTCATGGTTTTCTAATGCTAACATCATATAATGATACATTTCAATGAGTTGATGCGTACAAGAAAGACTGGGTAAGAATCCAGACTGAAATTTGTAAATAAGATTATTAGAGTTAAAAAAGTTGTAAATATGTTTATAGACTACACGTTTTTCCAATAATTCGAAACATTATGAGCGTCGCCAGACTTAAAGATCGGCATAACGTTTGCTAATTTCCGTTTATCAGGATATATACCATTGAATAAGGAGTGATTAAAAATGAGGGAAAGGGGAATGGCAATTTCATTTGCTACAAGTTTGGGTTTTTTTTTGTTTTTTTTTATTTTTCATAAGTGTTTTTTACATATACAAAAAAATATAGCACGTTCTCTCACACTCACATCTACACGTTTTAAAATAACACTGTCATCATCCTTCACATGATTTCATCATCATCATCATCATCATCATCATCATCATATCATCCATAATATATGAATATCATCATACACCCTACTCTTACATCATCGTCATCACCCTCATTAAACACTTTCATCAACTTATTATCATCATCATCATACATCATCATCTTACCTCCTCATCAACAATACATCATAATCTTACCTCCTCATCAACAATACATCATCATCCTCCACACTGTATGATTGTCATTATGATCATATACCATCATATCATATCCTCTTCAATAACATATTGATCAGCATCCTCTACAATATGTGATCATCATCATTATCATCATCGCTGACTATCATTTATCACCATCATTACCATCATCAACCATGTATGATCATCCTCAACATTATCTACAACCATCTTTCATCATCAACAACATAACATTTCATCATCATCATCCACAATGAATCATCATCATATTGTCATCAGATGAACACAAATGCTTATATCTTTTAATGACATATATACAACAAAATCTCGTAGTTTCTTCACTCTCGCCCCACACACTCGTACATCATCAACATAGAAACACCTCCATGTATAGTAAAGATAGTTTGCTTACTTTTGAGAGAGAGAGAGAGAGAGAGAGAGAGAGAGAGAGAGAGAGAGAGAGGGGGGGGGGGTTGAGAGGAACAAGATTGGTAACAGAAGANAATACCCTATGCAACAAGCTAATAAGGCCATGTCAGGGTCCTGGCGATAATAGCAATTTTTAAAAAAGTGTTCATTAATATGAAATAGGCACTGCCTATAAGCGAGCGCACATAGTTCGGTAACCTTTGTGATGATAGTGTAGATCTCGGGCGCCTGCAGCGCCCCAGCTAAGGGCTTTAAGGTTACAAAATGAACAGAATCCCTCATTAGGACAAAGGTGCGTCAAATATTCTGACATGAAAAAGAAATAAATGGTGGTTATAAAAAATAGAATCTTAATTAAGAAAACCTGCCAGATATTTCATGTAGGCCTTTTTGTTGTTACTAATTTACTATTATTTCAACCAGAGACGTATAAAGTTATATACGTCTCTGTTTCAACACCTTTGTCAATATATCGCCTGATCCCTTTTAGCATCAAAATTTGTCAAGACAAAATGATAGAAATAGGATCTAATTTGCAATGTTTGTTAAAAAGTCAAAGTATTGCAATGCGATCCATAGTCACTCACCGGTAAGAATTGCTATCTTTAACAAACAGTACACTTATGTCAGGAAGCATAGGTCACAGTGAGGTTATAGTGATCTACTTCACTCCTCCATCCCAAGATGTCCTTGTTCTTCAAATCAGGTTACTCAGGGTGAAATAGTATAGAATATATGCCCCGGACAAACATTTTTAAATGCAAAGGTCAAAGGTCAAGTCATTGATCACAATGACCTAATTATGTACACTCTGACATCCCAAGATGTCCTTGTACACCAAATCTAGTTACCCCAGGTAAAAAAGTATATAAGATATGCCCCGGACAAACATTTTCAAAAGTAAAGGTCAAAGGTCAAGTCATATGTCACAGTAACCTAAACCTTGCACACCAAATCTGGTTACTGCATGTGAAATAGTATAGATGATATGTCCCAGGACAAATATTTTCAAATGTAAAGGTCAAAGGTCAAAGCATAGGTCACAGTGAGGTCATACAACTGGAGTGACCTTCTAAATTCTTGCACTGTGCACGCTGCCACCCAAAGCTGTCGTTGTTCACCAAATCTGGTTACCCCAGGTGAAATAGTATAGAACATATGTCCCTGACAAACTTTTCTGACGGACGGACAGAGGGGTGCAAACCTAGCCCCCCTCCCCATTTTTTTCCAGTTCATGGATGTTTGCCTAAATT